CAATAAACACCAAGGCGAGCCGAGACAAAGACAGCTTTGGCGGCCGCCCGGATAACTCCCGTTACACCACACTCCGGACCCGGCCCGACTAGGAAACGGAGGCACTAGTCCGCGAGTCAAATTTCCTCCTATCTATTCTCCTGCCCTCTGTACAGAATACACTCTTCCCACCACCTGACCTTCTATTCTCCTGAGGAACCGGGCCTGGAAGATCGCAGCCGATAGGTATAAACACAATGAACCTCAACGTTAACCGATATAACTACGCTATGAGGAAGAGTTTTTAGAGTTTTCATAATTTATTTCAATCAAGGCGTAACACAGATAAATTGACAGCTCCGATTTATTATGAACGAACATTGAACGCTCGTAAAAGTCTCTTTACTCGGCGTACTTTGTCTCGTCTTGTGAGCATCGCACGCGAACCAGTGCGCGATTAAAAGTACGAAATCAAACGAGGGGGGGTCCGAGCTAAGGTAGTTAACACACACACACACACACACAGAGAAAACAAAGCAGATTGCTCACGAGTTAATAGGTCATCAGCCCCTTCTGCATCACCCTCCTAGTGCGAGCGGATGTGTGTGTGTATATATATAGTGATAGGCCTCTTGCGTGGGCCATCAGATTTCCATAAGGACAAGCGAGCGAGAGCTGAATACTAACTTAGCTATCAGATATAAAAACAAACACAGCTCGCTGCTCACACGAATCGAAAGACGCCCAAAAGCACAGATTTCGAAGTCATTTTCGTTGTACCGCGTACAAGCGTCTGATCCTCTACCGATCTCGCTGACTCCTTGTGTTAATTTCTCATACCTCCGGATCCCCTTTTCGCAGACAACTGGTCTACCAATTCTCTCACACAGTCTGAGAGATTCATCAAAGCCAAATCAAACGGCTTCGTCTTTTCGCTGGTTAAGCAGTCAACAAAATGGCTGGAAGACTAAGGGGTGAGTTGCATGAGATGACTATTTAACGCTATTTTCTTGATCATTTAATACAGTAGTTTAAGATCAAATGAGGACAATATTTATGTGGATTTGGGAAACTCTCATTTACTCTCAAATCTAGCTTACTTTTCAGTTTGTCAGTTTCGTACAGCATCAGCCGTCAATACTTTTCATTACGTCGGTTTCCGAATTGGGTGCCGTCATCAGCCAGCCAGCCAGCCAGTAGTCGACCAACTAGATGTAAAAATTTAAATCAAGCGCTGCACATCCAGTGCAGACAAAAGCCTGTTGTTTTGGGTATTTTTTCCGATATAGCCCTCTAAATTTGGCCCTTACATGCCAAGTTGGATATAGTTAGCCTTCAAATACATTTTCAAGTTTTGGCCGTCAAAATTCAGGCAGCCAGTCACCGCCAGTCAGTATGGGGGACTTAACTGTGAACAATAGGAACGCCGGAACTGCATTCATCACAAATGATGGATGATTCACCCGGAGCGCTGTCTCAGTCAACCTCCTGAAATTAGCTCTCAGCAAGAGGCCTACTGGTTTTCAGCTCTCCGAGCGCTTACTTTATTACTTCTAATATTCTCGATTTGCATTGTTTATGTGTATGCTTCACCTCAAACAGTAGGTGCTGAATTATTACAGAGGCCGCAGTCGCTTCCAAAATATGTTACTTAAACTACGTTCAGTCTATTTGGGTCGTTAAGTAGCAGTCCAAATACGTGGGGCCGACGCCGGCCTAACCACACACCGCCTAGGTCAAAAAGCTAAAAGCGGTCAGCGCTGCCTGGTAAAGAGAGAAAGAAAGCAAGAGGACTGATCCATCGGAAATCAGTCCTCAACAGCTGACTCAGGAGGCTTTAAATATTATAAATTTAATGAAATTAGAAGGCTACCAGTTGCCAGGATAGCTCAGGCCTTCCCTGAAATCAGAGTCGGGCTGCAAGGGCTCCCCATTCGTAGGGCCTCCACGGTGTCTGTGCTTGCGTGACTCACTCACTGAGGTCCCGTGCGTTTAGGGGTAGCAATCAGACAGTGCATGACACACGCAGGCGGACCTTTCAAGGAAGAATGCGGTTGACGCTTCGCGAATGGGGTTCGTTACGAACAATTTAAAATGCACTTCCCCGTTGCTAGTGAAGGGCCTTATCGTTTGCGAGAATAACAAGTTGGATCTTATTGATGCAAAAAGTTAAGTCTTTGCTCACACCTATGCTCTATCTAACCTCACTTTACTTCTTGACGCAAAAGGGAATGACTTAACCGGTAAATGCATTAAAAAGACCGAGGTGTTTGTGGTAAAAAACAAAACCTTGGGTGGCCTTGAAAATATGAAAGACACAGTGGAAATTTCGCAGTACTTTTTAATTAACCACCTCCTTTCCTCACTACGGCCTTATCGGGGAACAATTTTCTCTCTTAATAATGCTCCTCTCCTGAACTATCTTAAACTGAGTCGAGAGACACTAAGAAGCCAGGATAAATTATAACGCCCATGTTTTTTTAAATTTTCCTTTTAGATGTAAGGCGCATAGAAAGTCGGCTGATTGAATATCAGGTTAGTAATGAGTTCGTCACAATGCACATTTTATTTGGCCGTCAAACCCTTTCCACACAAGATCTACTTGCTTCTTTCTTACCTGACTATAATAAGGCAAATATGATCATTTCTGTGGTAGTATGCCTACGGAATGTTATCTCAGGAAATTTATAACAGTTCTTTCAGTCATAGTTCAGAGGACTGCTTTTTGCATTTATAAACATCGTTACTGCTTATCATAAGTATTTTCGAATCCAACAGATGCCCCTAGATTTATATTTAAACTTGACCGTTTTTACAAAACCTACGGGCTTGCGCTTGCTGCTATCCAGAAAACAGTGGATCCTACCGACATCGGCAGTTAACCAGCTGTCTTCTAACTTCCAATGAATTCGACATTTTCACTTGTACTTCCTAGTTATTCGGCACCCAAAAACCATCCTTCTCTGATAGGTTTCTTAACATTAACAAGACCCGTCAAACATATCTAATGCCTTCCTGCACTCCAATTCAAGTGCATAAGCAGCTAATAAGGGTTACTCAGAGTGTAGTATTTAGAGGGTAGTGTTTTCATATGTTCTATCATTTTATAGCAATTTGGTCATTGAAACAGGACGCGTGTTTCTGACGTTGGGGTAGACCTCCGTACAATAATTCAGTTTAGGCCGCTGCCACCATTCTTTGTACCAAATATTTGTGGTTCCCGCTAGGTTCGACAGAAGAATTACCAGTAATGCCTACTAACTTTAAATTAGTAGCACGTTTAATGTTTATTCGTTTTCACAACATGTTGCCTGAGCCTTTGGGGAAACCCACTTCTTGTAAAAGTAAAAAGGGTTTCTTTCGAATTTACAGTCGCAGGCGCAGGAGATGAGTGTTGGAGTAAATCATGCTGCCCTTGACAGCGAAAGAAAACACCAAGAGGACCTACTTAGTGAACTCCGCGAACTCGAGGAAGAAACCTCTTCCCCCCTGCTCAACAATACGCAATTACCGCAGTTAGCATCCAGTGTTGGTGTAAGTTCTGACGCGTTCCGGCTCTCTTCATATACTCATTCCTTTCTCCTATAGGCTGACCTCGAGTTAAACACAAAATGCCTAAAATACCTGACAGATATTTCAGACCTGGAGCGCTACATAACGGTAAGTTGAGGTCAGTTGTTCCTAAACTTTGCTTTTCTTCAGGATGTCGCAGCCCAATTTGCCGAACGATCAGTCGAATTGAGTAAACCCAATTCCGTAAACTCAGCTGTTTACACATACAAGGTTAGTTCGCTTAACTTCTACCTATTTAATGGATTTGTTTAATTCTAATTATAAATGTGTTTATCACTCGATGATGTTACAATTCTGTTGAAAGAAGAAATAATTATGTTTGGACTACGTTCTACTGACTGAAATATGGATGTACTTTGATTTTAGACACTGACAGACAACGTTGAAAGCTGTTGGGACTACGTGGACCAGCTAGCGTCCCTTACGCAAATTCATCTGAAATCGGCAGCGCAGTATCATCAAGTAAGTTTCTCCACTCACGCTCCATGTCCGCGGGCCAAAAAACATTGCTTAACTGTATAAACCTCGGGCACAAACACATAAACACTTGCAGTAACCGGCGGAGTATAGCCTTTATTTCTGGGTATATATCGTTGAAATTGGACATTGTACAGTTGGCCTAACCGTTCGTAAAGTCAATATTCTAGTAAATTGGCCATCAGATGAGCTTATGAAGGATACTGCGATGTTTTTTCAAAGAAATGTTGCCGAACTATCTGGCATTGTTTTGAAAAATTAAAGTAGTTGACATCTACAACTGATGGGACTATCGCAGGGGGTTAAGTGAGTCAAACCCAGCAACTGCGATCTCCAGACCATGGCTACTTAATTGAGGAGAAGTCGTTAAAGGCCAGAGTAGGAGGAAGAGTATATTGTGTACACAAGGGAAAGGAGAATAGATGGACAGAGATTTGACTTGGACAGCATACAACCAGCCAGGAGAGCCAGTCGAGTCCAAGTGCGGTTTTAGCAGCAGGCACGCAAGCGGCAGCGAGAACGGGCATTGTCTGGTTGCCTCAAAGGTTATTGGCCC